CGAGTGATCAGAACCAAAGTTAAAAGCCAAACTACAGACAGTGCAAGTTTGTGTAATGCACACTAGATCGGAAAGTAGTGGTATCAAAACATTCGATTGATTTTAAAGATTTATGTTTCAACTCCCAATTCATCGTTAAAATTGTCAGTTTACATGGGCGATAGGAAGTTTTGAAGCTCAAGCTCACGTAACGGTGGAAAGCAGTGAAAAATGTTGAAATGTTTCCACTGGAAAAACTCAAAAGCCTTCTGTGATTTTTATTAACGTCCTAGAGCAACAAAAAGAGATTCCGCTTGACTATGAAGAAGTGCTCAATCAATCACGATACAAGACAACGACTATCAAACCTGTTCAACAGTAAAATTCCCACTGCTTCTACTATTAGCCTAAAATGATACGAATCAACGCAGCTAGGTAAAGATGAAAGAGTAAGAATAAGAACCTACGGTGGCTTGGCTTTCCACAGTCTTTGCTTTTCTAAGACGGCTTTTGCATGCGTCCAAGTCCAAGCGCTTGCTGTTCAATACCTTGCGTTCTTTCTAATAGTGAGCAAATCAATAACACAAAAGGAGAAAAGTAATAAATAAAAGAGAATTTAACATCAGCAAACCTGAATAGTTTTCATGTCGCCTTCTAAAAATCGGCGAATGGGAAGAAGAGTTTGACTAGCAGATGAAGTTACAAATTCTCGCTCAGCCTGCCCCAGTTTTTGCTCAGTTTGGGCTATTTTCACAAGAGCACTTCCTAAAACGATGGGCAACTAATCATTTTAAAATAATAGAGTAAAAACATGTTTTCTGAAAAACAATTTTCAACGAAGGCTTTTTTTTTGTAGTAAAAATTTCAAACATACAACAGTCTTGAGAATCCATTTCTGACATAGAAAAAAATGCTAAGATAAAGTCAAGAGATTTGGCAAAGATGAAAGTGTAACAGAATTTAAAAAATATAATATTTGTAAGAATACTGTTCAAATTTCATGAGATAATTTTGTGGAATTGTAGAAAAAATACGATAACCGAAGACTGACTCTGTAGAATTACGACTTTGTGTTAAAGTAAACTTGGCTAGTTGAAAATTTGGAAACTATGGATTAATTTGCTATGCACGAGTGGGTTTTCTAATGCTGAATATATCAAAGACCTTCTCTCAAACCTCACATAGATATTGACTTCTAAATACGTAAGCGTGCCGAACGATGGCATATTTATAAGTTAACGAACTGACCGTATGGTGCTGTTGAGCCAAACTCCTCTCCAGCATCGCTCATCGCCTGCGCCATTAATTCCAAATTATTCAATCGACCAGCATGGTCCTTCTTTAGTTCCAGCTTTTCATAGAACACCTCCTCCATCCGAATGGCTGCAATGCAAATTACTTGAACAAAACTGAAAAGGCTACAAAATCACTCCTGCAAAAATCACAGACTTGGATTTGGCTGCAGATAGCTTTCTATACATGACAGCAGCCTTCGAGTGTGTTCCTCAGTTTTGTCTGCTCTTTGTAACAAATTTTCAAAGTGCGGATCAAGGTCGGTACGTTCTGCTTTCAAAAACGTCTCCTCCGTGTACTAAAGAGAAGCATGAATGAAGTAATACATTACTTCGGAAAATTTCAAAATATAAAGGTCATTTGATTTCGAGAGAGTATTGGTTCGAATAGCAAATTGGTTCGAATAGCAAGTAAAATGTTGTTATGATGGGAGCTTAATGCTTACTTTGATACTAATTTGCAGGCGGATAATTCGGAAAGATAACCCTTGATAGTATTTGACTTGCCGGCTATGG